CCCTTGGCGGCGCCTCCAGCGCCGCCCCTGGCGCGCTCCGCGCGCCAGGGAGGGGGGTCCAGCGCCGATCCGTGAAATCCTCGCGGACCTCTGAGTTTTTATGTTTATGTCATTGTTGGTTCCCTTATGCATCCATGGAGCAGGGAATGATGTACTGACAGTTTGTGGTGCGCAACGGGCTCTCAAAGGAAGCAGCTTCACCGACCCCATCAGAAAATACATGTGGAGTCCCGTATTATGTGGCAGCTTCGAGTTCCGCGGGCAGGATTCCTCGAGCTGGTTGTGGGAAAAAACGAAAAACAAAAAAACGCCATCACGCCAGCGCAGCAGCGCAGACGCGCGGCAGGAAGGCGGTTGAGTGTGAGGCCGTTTCCAGTTCGGTGCCCCGCTTGAACCAGCGCGGGTCTCGAACACCCCCTCCTTGAGCCCGTAAGGTGCCTCGGAGCAGCTTCTGGGCGCGATGGTTCCATCGAGTTCGGTCGAGGCATCTCGGGGACGTCGGGCGGCGGTTCTTGCACCCCCTGGCTTCAGCACTTTACGCAGGGCGAGGCCGAGTCAGGGCAAGACGGCGGCCTCCTCGTCGTCCTGCCCCTCCTCTTGATCGTGGGTGTATCTTAGGCTGTGTTGGAGGCTTCCTGCGCTGTCCTCGTACTTCTTGGAGGCCCCTGGGAAGGAGTATGAACACATGAGGGGCAGCCCAGGGTTAGCCCATCCAGCCTGGCTAGAGCATGGAGATCCCGAGGCCATGGCTCCATCGAGCTGCTTCCCTCGTACGTTTCCAGGTTCCCCGCCTGGGGGGGGGGCCTCCGAGAGCGCCCAAAGAGGGTTTCAAGACGGGAGCGAGAGGCCCAAGAGGCCCCCAAGACGAGCCAAGAGGGCCTCGTTTAAAGAAGTCTAGGATAGCCTCAAGTAGGCCCAACAGGGTCCCCAAACGCTCCAAAAGGATACCAAGATGACCCCCAAGAGGTCCGCAGGAGGCCACACTCATACATTGTCCTTGATCGTGTGAGCGGTTTTAGCGTTATCGAATTGTCGGCGTTTCAGCGCTCCAAGGCGGCCCGAGAGGTTCCCATGACAGCATCAAGACAGCCCAAGAGGTCCCCGTGACGGCCCGACTGCGACCCAAGAGAGCGCCAAGACGGCCCAAGAGGCCGCCAAGACGGCCCAAGAGGCCCTCAAGACAGCCGCAGGGGCAAAAACGAGGATTCAAACCGATACTTCGAGCCCAGACGCCCAGAGCCCAGGGGGAGGGGGGCCCAAGGCGCCCCCAAGAAGTCCCAAGAGGCCACCAGGAGACCCCCACCAACAACCGAAGAGGCCCCACCTCCCAGAAATGCCCAAGAACCCTCCAGCAACGTTCCCCAAAAGGCATCCAAGGAGACTCCCAGCATGGCGTTGCCAGGCTCTCAGGGGCTCTCGGGCATCTCGCCCTAGGCTGTCATGGGTCCTCGCGGCCGCCTCGCGCGCCTTCCTGGAGACTTCGTGGGCGCACTCCAAGAAACAGCTGGGGGGTTCGCCCTGCACGCGTATCTATGGCGCGAAGTCGTTCTGGACGCCGCCTCCACGACAAGAGTGAGCCGCGTCATCTGCCGGGTGCCATGTGTCGCGCAACATCGTAACACTTCCCAGCAAGGCACACTGCGGCATAAGGGATCTCCAGGGCCGCGCCCAGAACGGCTTCGACTGACCCTGACAGCTCCTGGATGATTTGAGCTGCCCCATGTCATTGGCACCCAGGGTTACCAAGGAACCTCCAACACACCTCCGAGATAGTTCAAGGGGCCATCGAGGCGCCCATGAGATGTTCGAGACCGCTGCAGACGGTCCACAGGCCACGAGCCTCCCGAAGCTTCCCAAAGGTTACACTCGGCCAGCTGCTCGGTGTACCGAAGACGCATACGTCGAATCACCGCCGGCCCCTGCCTTTTGAAATCGCCCACGTGGCCGAGCGTTGCGGCAAGAGCTCTGCCAAGTTATCGGACCATGCTTTCCCCCAACCGTTGTGGAAACCCTTCGGGGAGCATTTGGGGGAGTATGGCGGGGAAGATCAGAAGGAGGAGGTGGAGGAGGGAGGAGGAGGAGGGGGAGGAAGAAGAGGAGGGGGCATTTGGGGAGCATCTCGGGGCCTCTTGGGACCTCCTGGGAGCTTCCTGGGAGCTTCCTGGGAGCCTTCTTGGAGGCATCTTGAGGGCTTCCTTGGGCCTCCTGGGGGCCTCTGGGGGCTTCTCGGGGGACCTCTCTTTGGCCGTCTCAGGGCATTCCTGGCCCGTTTGACGCCGTCGGAAGCTGTCGTGGGTGCCTCTCTGGGCCGACTTGAAACCCTCTTGGGGTGCTCCAAGGCCGTCTTTGCGTATTGGAGGCCTTTTGGGCCGTCTTGGGGCCTTTTTGGGGCGTTCTTGGGGGCCTCTTTGGCCGTTCTGGGGCCAGCATGGAGGCCTCTTGGGCGATCTTTCTGGGCTCTTGGGCCGTCTCGGGCCGTCGGAAGGCCGAAAAAAGCAATGCCAAAATCCTTCAAACACCTTAGGCAAATCAACGGGTTGGGCCTCTGAGGGCCTTCCTGGGGGCCCTCTTGGAGGCCCCTTGGGCCGTCTTGGAGACCTCCTGGGGGCCTCTTGGGGGCCGTCTTGGGCCATCTTGGAGCCATCTTGGGTCGTCTTGCTGGGCTCCTGGCCCGCCTGATACCGTCGTAATCTGTCGTGGAGGCCTCTCTAGGCCGGCTGGGGGCCCTCTTGGGCTCTCCAGGGCCGTCTTGGAGGCCATCTTGGGCGTTTCGGGGGCCTCTTGGGCCCTCTTAGGGCCGTCTTGGGGGCCTCTTGGGCCGTTCAGGGGCAATCCTGGAGGCCTCTTGGGCGATCTTTCTGGGCTCTTGGGCCGTCTCGGGCCGTCGGACGGCCGAAAAGAAGCAAATACCAAAATCCTTCAAACACCGAAGGCAAATCAACGATTTGGGCCTCTTCGGGCCTTCCCGGAGGCCTTGGGCCATCCTGGAGCCATCTTGGGCCGTCTTGGTGGGCTCCTGGCTCGTCTGACGCCATCGGAAGCTGTCTTGGGGGCCTCTCTGGGCCGACTGGTGGCCCTCTCGGGATGCTCCTGGCCCGTCTTAGAGGCCATCTTGGGCCGTCTTGGGGCCCTCCTTGTGCAGTCTTGGGGGCCTCTGGGGCCATTCTGGGGCCATCTTGAAGGCCTCTTGGGCGATCTTGTGGCGATCTTTGGGTGCTCTTGGGCCGTCTCGAGCCGTCGGAAGGCCGAAAAGAAGCAAATGTCAAAGTCCTTCAGGCACCTGAGGAGATCAACGATTTTAGCCTCTTCGGGCATTCCTGGAGGACCTCTTGGAGGTCTCTGGGGCCGTCTTGGGGGCCTCTTGGGAGCCTCTAGGGCCGTCTTGGGCCATCTTGAGGCTATCTTAGACCGTCTCTGCCGTCTTGGAGGCATCTGGGGGGCATCTTGGCCGTCTTGGAGAGCATCTTGGACGTCTTGGAGGCATCTTGGAGGCCATCTTGGGCCATCGTGGCCGTCTTGGGGGGGGGGTGTTCGGCTAATTCCGCGCTTTGCGGTCCTTTCCGGGTGGCTGGCGGGACGGGCCGAAGCCCCAGGGGAGAGTTCTTGTGGAAAAAGAACAAAAGCCAAGAGCGATAGGGTTTAGTATGCCAGGCACCCCTGTGGCAATAGGGCACCAAAAGCGATAGGGTTTAGTGCCCCGATTTGGCCCGAGACGTCACTGCACAAAACAGCCGGCAGCTCCGGCACCGAACCGCGCGCGGCCGTCGTCGTCGGCGTCGGCATCGGCGTCGGCGTCGACGTCGGCGTCGTCGGCGTCGTCGTCGGCGTCGTCGTAGTTGTCGTCGGCGTCTCCGTCGTTGTCGTCGTCGTGGTCGGCGTTGTCGGCGTCGTCGTCGTCGTCCTCGTCGAGGCCCGATGATTGAGGGTCGAGGGCCGGGAGCCCCCTGGCCCCAGCAGCTGCGACGCGCGCGACCGCCGTCGTCTTGCAGGCCTCCGGCGCTCTCCGAGGCACGGGGGGCGGCGGGCTGCTCCTCGGAGGTCCCACGGCGCCGCGGTGATCGCACCGTCGGTGGACCAGGGATCCGTGGTGGTCGCACGCTCTCGGGGATTCAGGGCCGTTCTCCGAGGACGTTTCGGGCGGCCGATGCCTCCGAGGGTCCAAGAGCGTTCGGCGGCGGGCCGCGTGGCGAGGTCTTTGGGGGGCATTCTGAGGCCATGGCACGGTCTGCCACCAGACGGTCTCGCAACTCCCAAGCTTCTGGGGGTGAGCGACTCAGGCGGGGGGTGCATCGACACCCAATCGCCCGTTGATCGCAGAAAACGGGCCCGATAGCCCACCCTGCCCAGGAGCGTGGGGCTCGGCCGATCCATCGGCGAGGCTTCGCCGACTCCAGGTCGACGTTTCCAACCCTGGTCCATTCCCCTTCTACTGTCGGGGCCTTGAAGAAGGAACCCTTTTCGTTGGGGAGGGGCTCCGTGTTCCTTGATTGTTTCACAGCTTGCCTCAGGTTTTCCTTCTGTTTTCGATGGGAAATCGAAGTTTAACTTGTGGAAAAAAGGGGCCTCGTTCCTTATTTAGGGTTCCTTAGGTCAACGCCCCGACTCCAGGTCGACGTTTCCAACCCTGGGCCAGTCCCCTCCTACGGTCAGGAACGATTGCTTGGCGGGTCGCGCCGCCGATGCTGGCCGCCGGCGCTGCGGTGCGACACGCTAACCATCTCCCCATTTCCAAGCATCCATGTTCGAAGCCTTTCGGAGCCTCCCGCCCCGCGGAGCGGAGCGACACGCCATCGGCTTGCAGGGCATGGCGATTCGCTGGTGCCGCCGCCTTGATACGCTAAGCGAAAGTTCCCCCCCCCCCAAACATTCCCCTGCATGTGCGCCACCACCAGTGCCAGAGCCCAGGAGGGCCCCTGGCAGACACTGCTGTGGCGTGCAGGTGTCCTCTGGAGGGACAATCCGCCTCAAGATCATGCTCGACGGTTTTCGCGGCCACCTGGGCTCAGGCCCAGAGCATCCCCTCGACTCGAAGCCTTCCAGGGAATCCCGAGGACTCCCCGGCGCTGCCCCACCCGGCCGGCCCGCACATACGCCAAGCTGACGTGATGGCCGCGGCCCAGGCCGGCGCCGACCCTCGCACCTGGTGCCGGGCCGCCGGCGCGAACAGGCACCTGAGCTTCCAGGCGGCGTGCGGTGTGCAAGCCTGGGGCCTTCTGCGGAAGTGGGCCCCAAGCACAGGAAGGGCTCCACGGTCGGATTTGCTCCGTCCGAGGCTCCTCGTCCTTGGGGCCCCATCCCTCGGTGACCCCAGCCTTGCACCACCGGCAGGCGCCCTACGGCCCCGGGAAGCCAGCGCTTCCGCTCAGCTCGGGGTGCTGCTCCCCACCCCTGGGGGGGCTGGCCTGCGAGTCTGAGAGGCCCACCGCTCTGCCGTTGAGCTACTGCGGCGACGCGGCGCCCGACAGGTTCACCTTCCAGTCGGACGCGCCCACGAGGAGCAGCTTCGATTCCTCGGCCTGGGGCGCGCCGCAGGCGGAGCCGCCGGGGCGGTGGACCTTCAGCTCCGAGGTGAGCACTGCGCCAGACGCGACGCGGTCTCGGTGCTGGGGCAGCCCACCGGCCTCGATGGGCTGCCCATCGAACCCCGTGCCGTGCGACGTGAACCTGCGCCACCGCCGCAGCCTGGCGCCGCCGGAGCTGCTGGGCGGCGGCGAGGAGGGCCACAGCGATGGCGAGAAGGACGACATCGACGCCGGGGACGACGGCTTCCCGTCGAAGATCCTGGTCTACCCCAACACGGACGACGAGGGCGAGGGCGAGCCCCAGATGAAGGCCGCGTGGGAGCTCTGGCCCGTCCGCGCGCAGAGGCCCAGGCGTGGCCTCCCCCGGCCGGGGACCATCCTGGGCACGCGCCCCCGCGAGGCCAGGGAGCAGGCGGCCCGCCAGGCCGCGCCGCCAACGCCGGTGCTGCGGCGTCCACCAGGCGGAAGTCGGGCCTGCCCCTCCACGGGAGGAAACTTCAGAGAGAGTCCACGAAGAGTCCGGGAAGGATCTCTGGGGCATGTTTGGGCTCTGCTCTGGAATATGTTGGGGGCGTGTTCTGTTTCTCGTCCAAAATCCGCCTGTAGGGGGACAGGCACGACCTGACACCAGGCATCCACTCCCTGGCGGCGGCTCCCGCGGCGACGGGCGGGACACAGCCGCTGGGAGTCCGCGGTGTCTCGGCCGCTGCCGCGACGGCCACCAGTACCGTGGTGGCCGAGGCCACCACGCATCGGGAGGCCCAGGCCCAGGAGGCTGCCGGGAGGACGAGCCGGAAGGATCGGCGCGACAGCCGGCCCAGGATCACGACTCTGGTGGTGCGCAACTTGCACGTCCGCACGTCTCAGCAGGAGTTCCTCGACGAGGTCAACCGCAGCGGCTTCGCGGAGAAGTACGATTTCGCATACATCCCAAGGAGCTTCGAGGACGGTTCCGGAAAAGGCAACGGCTTCATCAATTTCAAGACTCCTGAGGCGGCCAGGGCTTTTGCGGCCGCGTGGCACCGCTCCAGGCGCCTCGGCATGGAGGACGAGACTGGCACAGTAGTCCCCCTCAACGTCTCCAACGCTTCTCTACAGGGCCTTGAGGCTAATCTGCGCAAGTGGACTGGCGCGCGGGTGATGCGCGTCAAGAATCCAGATTTTTTGCCTTTCGTCCTCAGGGACGTAGCGCCAGAGCCGCAGGCCTCCGCGCTGGAACCCCCAGGTTCTGCCGCCACCGTTGCGACGAAGCCTCGCTAAGACCACAAGGCTTCTGCCAACTGTATCTCGGATGTGTCGTAGGATCGGCATTGGGTTCAAATTACGTTTGCAGGGCTGGCCACGGGACATCCACAATTCCGAACGCTTCGCATATCCCCACTAGGTCATCCAGGCACGATGTCCAGCGAAGCTGCCCTGAACGGGGGAGCGTGGCATCATTTGGAGATCTCGTGGGCCCGTGTGGGCCAGAGGCCCCGTACAATCTTGGCTCTCTTGGGGTGTCTCTCGGGGGCCTGTTGGAGACCTCTTGAGGGGTATTGGGGGCCTTTGTGTGGCTCTCAGTGGCCTTTAGGGGCACCTTGGGGGCCTCTTGGGGGGCCTATTAAGGTCTCTTGGGGCCTTCGGGGAACCTCTTAGTGGCCTGCTTAGGGGCCTAGTGGTGGCCTATTGGGGTCTCTTGGGCACCGCTTGGGGCTCCTTGGAGCTCTCTCGGGTGCCTGCGGTGTAAATGAACTTGGCACTCCCAGAAGAGCCAAAATGGGTCCAAAACCTGAATGGTTTTTGCTTTCTGCTTGAGGCCATCTTGGACGCTCTACTTTGCGGCGGCCCTCCCCGTCCAAGACCCAGGTGGAAGGAGAGGCGGATTGGTCAAGCTCCCCCCCGAAGGACGGCTGTCTCGCTCACTCCCTCCCGCCCTCCCACCAGAGAAGATGTAGTACCCGAGTCTCAGAGTGGATATGGGGCCGCCATTTACAATCATCGGTAACCAATGCAGACGCCAGCCAGGTGTGCGACGCCTGCGAGGTGCACCGCGCATGCCAGGGCATTCCCATCATCCCCGTCAAGCAAAAAATGCAAGCTTTCTACGGGGCGCCCGCGCATGATCAAGATGTTGCCGCAAAGTGTATTTCGTATTGTTGTTTGCATGGGTGATGGGCCTGCGCACGGCAGGCAATAAGCCACCCCCCTCCCCCCGTCCTTGCCCCCAAAAACGCACAGTGATCATGGAATGCCCGCGCGTGATCTAGGTTTTGCCGCAAAGTTCTTGTTATACTGCTTGTTGACAGTGATGGCGGGGGAGGGTCATGGTTGCGGGTTTGGCGCCGGGCAGATGGGGGAGGAGGTTTCTACTGACAGGGAACAGTGGTAAACCACTCACCGAAGCGGAAAAAAGGGAGAAGATGGAAGAGGAAACGATCTAAACCACCTCAGTCCAAAGGGCTGGTGCGACTAGCCTTGGAGGTTTGATGGTTGGGAGGGGGGAGTGGGCCGAGACAATGGGTTTGGGGGGCGGTGGTTGCAGGGGACGCCGTTTTCCATCTCAGCTAGCCCCCGCGCACTGAAGATAGTTAGTCAATCATGGCCCACTTCGATGATTACGACACGAGCAGAAACATAAGTCGAGTGGGTTCGGCGGGTCTCGCCCGGTTGGGGCCACGTCGATCTCACCGCCCAGCTTCCGACAGGCGAGCTGGTGCGTCACAGTTGAACGCGTTAGGGGCTCTCCGCTGCTGCGACCCAGAGAGACGTACGTAGCTTGCGCTGGGGTTCTACCTCCTGAGGAGAAGAGGGAGGCGGGAGGCTGGGACGGGCCCAAACGACGAATCTGAGCACGGCTGTGGTGTGGAGATGTGCTCCTAGAGCGGCACAGGCGCCCCTGACGCGAGGGAGCATGTAAGCCGCCAGCGCCGATGCGAGAGCGAGGGCAGTCTTAAGCGGGAGCGCCACGCTTGAGTAAATGTTGAGGCTATCTCCAGCGAGGGGAATAATAGGACGGTGAGGAGGAGAACCAGTAGGTCAAAGAGGGGCGAAGGGGACAACCAGGAGGAATAACCGTATCAGGGGCATGAGGAGGAGAACGAAGAGAACACGGAAGATGAGTAAATATGAGGAAGAAGAGGAGGAGGCAGAAAAGGAGGAGAGGAGACGCATGCGCCGACGACGACGATGGCGCGACAGAGATGACGACGAGAGTGCAGGACGATTAGGACAAGGATGGCGGGGGGGGCCATGGTTGCGGGTTCGCAACTGGTGACTGGGGGGCGCATTTAAAGAACAGTGATGAATCCCTCCCCCAAGAAGGAATAATTGGGAGAAGATGGAAGAGGAAACGATCTACACCATCTCAGCCCAGAGGGCCCTTGTGCGATTTGTCTTGGAGGTTTGATGGTTGGGAGGGGGGGAAGTCCGAGAGGGGGATCGGGGGACGGTGGTTGCAGGGGGCGCGTTTCTTCATATCAACTTGCCTCGCGCACTGAAGGTAGGTAGCCAACCATGGCCCACTCCACGATGATCACGACAGGAGCCGAAAACTACGCTGAGTCGGCTCGAAAAATCACACCTGGTTGGGGTCATTGCGGTCTCACCGCCCAGCTTCCGACAGGCGCGCGAATGCCTTACAGTTGAGCGCGTTAGGGGCTCTCCGCTGCCGCGACCCATCGAGTAATTCCGAACGTTCCCTTCGCCATAGCTTACTTCCTAACCACTTCCCTCCGAATGAGGTTTGGTTGGGCCTGCGGGGAGGGGAGTACCCCCGCAGCTATTTGCGTCTCAGGAAAAGCGCGCGCGGCCTTCCCCGCCCCGGTCGGCCGGCCGGCCGACTGACGCGCACACAACTGTTACAAATACCGCTTAACGGACACAAAGTCATGGCAGCAGGTATATCATCGACGCGTCGTGATCTCACAGTATTCCTTGAGCAAGATGAGCACGAACACTGATCAAGAACATCAACAACTGAATAACATCATTACACCTCTGCCTGAACCCATGATGCATAGGCAGGACACGGGAGATCAGCCAAAACATATTCCACGAGACCAGGAGGCCGCGCTTCGCGGCTCAAAGATTGATGCATTCGGCAATGAAGACCAACGCCGCGGCTCAACAGGGACGCGCAAGATAGTCGCTGAGACCCCTGACTGCGTCGGGGTTCTCGACGCACGTCCCCGGAATAACCTCAGCATGAACTCCCCGCTGTCGGCGGGGGAATCTTCCGCGGAAGACGAGCCCAACCGCCGCGATACGCCGAGACCGGACGCGGACACGGCCGATATTGACGCTGACTGGCGTTATTCAAGTGCGCGGGGCGCGGCGCCTCTGGCACCTGGCGCGCGTCAGTCCCGCGCGATCCCCTCCGACGCCGAGGACGGAATGGAAGGGGACCCCGATAAGATATCCGTCTCGTCCGACGACGAGATGTCAGCGAGGTCGAGCCATGCCGAGGCGGGAACGCGACCGATGGCTCTGACCCGGGGGGCGATCCAGAGGCCTTTGGCTTCGGGCATGCAACCGCGGACGGCAGGCACGCCCCGCCGCGGGGGGGGGCCCATGCGGGGAGACGCCAGGACCAAGGGCCCCCGCAACGAAGCAGCCGAGGGGAACCCCTCGCCCGTCGACGAGGCCCACGCTCGCGAAACCATCCACGACGAGATCCAGGGGTTCGAACCGCGGGCGCACGCGCGCCGGGCGCCGTGCCCCCCGGGGTCTCTTCTCCCCCGGCTAGCCCGTCGAGGACAACGCGGATCGGGCGGCGGGCGGCCGACGCCGCCCAGGCCCCGATTCCCCGCGCGCGCCCCCAAGAGCCAGGATTGCAGGGCCCGGGCGACGGAGGCAGTCACGGGCCCCGCCCGGCGCGCCCTCGCCCTCGTCTCGCACGGCGCGCTCTAATGCGTCAAGCTATCGCAACGACGCCCGCGCCAACAATGGCCCCAGCTGCGCAGAGTCTCCCGAACGCCGATGCCCAGGCAGTCGGGGCCAGTGTAAGAAGGCAGTTTGTGGGGCCTGCTCGGTCAGTTGCCCAGTCTGCACGATGCTTTGCCCCCGCGCGAACTGCCTCGCACGCCTCGCGCACATTTGCTCGGCCCACCGCAACCTGGGACGAGAGCAGGCCGGGAAAAATAAGCGAGAGGCCACGGTGGAACAGCGGAATTGGGAAGCGGCGCGCGTGGGGGATTTGATTTTGGCATTTAGACTTCAGCAGCGGGCAGCGACTCAGGCCCAGGCCGAGCGCGACCGCGACGACATGATCCGCGCCATTGAGCAGGCGAGGAGAGGCAGACGGCCCTCGCCTCGGAGCAGTCGATGCGAGCTAATGCGGAACTCCGGGAAATGGCAGACCGGGCCGAGGCCTTTGCGATGGCCGAGAAACAAGCTCAGGCATTCGAGCAGGCCGTTGCGGAGATGGCCGGGAGCCCCATTCGGGGAGCTGGCGAGACCAAGCAGATCACGGCGTCGAGGATCGCCGAGGAACTCGGGGACGGGGAGGCGCGCAACGCCAGCCTGGAGACGGAAGCCCAGACAGCCGCGCAGAAGGCCTTCGCGGATCGGCGAAGCGCGGAGGCCGTCGCTAAGAGGACTTCGGCGGAGAGCGCGCCGCGCGCGCCCCCCAAGAGCCAGGAATGCAGGGCCCGGGCGACGGAGGCAGTCACGGGCCCCGCCCAGCGCGCCCTCGCCCTCGTCTCGCACGGCGCGCTCTAATGCGTCAAGCTATCGCAACGACGTCCGCGCCAACAATGGCCCCGGCTGCGCAGAGTCGCCCGAACGCCGATGCCCAGGCAGTCGCTCAGTGTAAGAAGGCAGTTTGTGGGGCCTGCTCGGTCAGTTGCCCAGTCTGCACGATGCTTTGCCCCCGCGCGAACTGCCTCACACGCCTCGCGCACATTTGCTCGGCCCACCGCAACCTGGAACGAGAGCAGGCCGGGAAAAATATGCGAGAGGCCACGGTGGAACAGCGGAATTGGGAAGCGGCGCGCGTGGGGGATTCGATTTTGGCATTTGGACTTCAGCAGCGGGCAGCGACTCGGGCCCAGGCCGAGCACGAACGCGTCGACATGATCCGCGCCATTGAGCAGGCGAGGAGAGGCAGACGGCCCTCGCCTCGGAGCAGTCGATGCGAGCTAATGCGGAACTCTGGGAAATGGCAGACCGGGCCGAGGCCTCTGCGATGGCCGAGAAACGAGCTCAGGCACTCGAGCAGGCCGTTGCGGAGATGGCCGGGGGCCCCATTCGGGGAGTTGGCGAGACCAAGCAGATCACGGCGTCGAGGATCGCCGAGGAACTCGGGGACGGGGAGGCGCGCAACGCCAGCCTGGAAACGGGAGCCCAGACAGCCGCGCAGGAGGCCTTCGCGGATCGGCG